TACTGGTGTTCAGGCACAAGTCAAAGAAAAATACAAGTTCGCTCATTTTGTTCACTGCTATGCGCATCAGCTAAATTTAATTATGTCTAAGGCAGCATCTGGAAGTTCCCAAGTTCGACTCTTTTTTGGAAATCTTCAAGAAATACCTTCATTTTTTAAAAATTCTCCGCAACGCGTAGCTGTTCTAAGTAGAATTGTTGGAATAAGAATTCCACATGGTGCACCAACACGTTGGAATTTTAATATTAGAACGGTTAACGTTATTTTTGAACACCGAGAGTCTATACTTGAATGCATGGAAGACATAGAAAATTCATTTAGCAACCAAACTGTTTGTAGTGCAGCTTCTTCAATAAGAAGGATGCTGCAAGATCCAAAGTTTATTTTTTGGCTAACATTTTTTCACCGTATCATGCCACATGCCGATATTTTGTTTAATGTGTTACAAAAAAGAAAAATTGATCCTGTAGAAATTAACCAAAAAATACAAGTTTTTGAGCAGAGCATTATGACAGTAAGAAATTCAATAGAAGAAATTATTAACGAAGCCAATAACTTAATATTTTCGGTTGATTTTGAAGCAATGCCTTCTAAAAGAAAAAGAACCAATGACAGTCAGTTTGATCACCGTACTGCTGCGTTAGAAGTTTGTGATATAATTATTAACTGCGCTAAAGATAGATTTGATTACAAAAATCATTTGTTGGCAGCCTCATTGTTTTATTCCGACCAGTTTGCTAACTACGTTAATTGTTTTCCTGATGAAAAATTAAAAGCAACTTGTGAGTCGTACCCTAACCTTGATCAGGAACGTTTAAAAACAGAACTGTCAGTGATATACTCCAGATCAGACTGCAGGAACCTGAAGGGGGCAATACCTTTTTTAAAATTACTCATTGAAAATAATTTAACAAATTCACTTCAAGAAACTAAAAAGCTCTTGGAAATACTGATAACCATTCCCATGTCGACAGCAGAAGCCGAACGTTCCTTCTCTACTTTAAATCGCATCAAGACTTTTTTACGCAATTCTATGGTGGAAGAACGTCTGGTGGCTCTATCAATGATTTCGATGGAAAAAAAAATTATCACCGAAACTATAAACTTTAACGACAAAGTTATAGACATATTTGCAGCGAAAAAAAATGGAAGAATTAACTTAATCTTCAAAAAGTGACTATTTTATGTTAAAATTAAAATGAAAAAAGTTCAATACAAATAAATCTAAGTAAACAAACTCATACGAGTTCCACCCAATAGTGTACTAGTACGAGTTCTAAGCTGTCAGGAAAATACAAGGCAAAATATTGGTAAGTTCATATGTTAAGGTAGCCCCCTGATTTTCTTTGCCTGGTGAGCCCCTGCTAACCCTTTCAAAATAAACGAACTTTATCACACATGCACTCACATTTTAGAACCAAAAAACATGTTTTTTAATTATTTATTTTGAAGAAAACTGTAGGAACCATTTAATTAAATGCAGAACTCACAAATTTTACTGCCACGAGCCGCCACTGATATACGTATATATATAGCTTTGCTTATCATGCATATAATTTTAAATATCTAGTAAGTATGCTTATTAGTAATAATTTTTTATTATTTAATTTTTGTGTAGGTCCCCGGATGATGGTGAGTTAATTTTGCTTTGAGAATTTATTGCTTCGAGAAATTTTTGTATCGAGAAATTTTAAATTTTTGCGTTGGGAATTTTTCTTATGACAATTTATTGCTTTAATCAATTTTTGCGATGAGAAATTTTTGCTGAAAAATTAATTTTGAGTAGGTACATATGTACTTATATAAGACTTCGAAGTTCCAAGTTAGAATCTTAATGTAAATTGTAAGAACTGGCCTTTTACTTTTTTACTGTGCTTTGTTTCAGATGTGCTCCGCACCAGCCACTGATTATGTTTTGGTCGTTTGTATCTCATCAGTGCCGGATAGCCATGTGGTGTGGAACATATCTGATACAAATTGCTATTCGCAGCGGCGCGACGCTTTATAAGCATTAAAATACAGCCTGTAAAACTGTATACAAACTTAAAACTCCAAAATGTCTTAAAAATATCTTAAAACTTGGAAACATCAAAATGTCCTAAAACTGTTTAAAATGTTTAAAATTTCTTAAAATAGTCTTAGAATTTAAGTCCAAAATTCCCATCTTTTTGGATTTTAAATTTTTTGAAACTATCCTTAACCTTCCGGCGGGCGCACGTCTTTTGTGCACGAGTTCGGGCGCAGTGATCTGACAGATTCGATTTTCAGATAGGCTTATTAAAGTGCTTTTTAATATTTTTTACCAAATAAATAATTAACACTACTTTTTTTAAGACTATATACTAACTTATAAAATAATATACATACATAAAATGCGCAAATTAAATCAAATATAACTAATTTTTGTAAAGACAAAAGAAATTTTCAGATATGCATACTAAAGTGTTTTTTTTATATTTTTACCAAATAAATAAATAACAACGTTTTTTAAAACTTTTAATAAATAACAAAATTAAAACATACATGTATTTATGCATAAATTTCGAAAATAAAATAAAACAATTTTTTGTAACGAAAACTAAACAAAATAGGTATTTTATACAAATATTGTATATCAAAACCAATAATTATGAATAATTATTAAAACTCCTCATTAGATTTAGTAATAACAGTTTTATCCAAACATGAAGTGCATACAAAAATTGCAAGTTGTAAGTGCTTTTTGACATTTTTTGCACTTTATTTAGAAAGCTGTCTAATACCCGATTCTGAAGTACATTGTAAACATCTTCGTTTTTAGGTGGTTGTTCTTCTTCTTGCTGAACTATCATAGTATAAATTTAAGTAAAAATGCATACAAAAAGTTATAAATCAATGCTTACGTTCATAAAAAGTTAAAAATTTGTAAATATTAAATTATAACGCAATCGGGCGCACTGTATCTAGCAGATCAAAATGCCTGCCACCACCTTACAAGGAGATTAAACACAAACTGCAGTAGACATATCGGTAGAAGTCCTAAAAATATGAAGCTACTGAAGGGCGGGTAGTTATGCCTATAATAACAGTGCGTTCGCGTGCAATTTTTTAACTGGTGTATCTCTTAGATCGGTTGCGCCCGCCGGAAGGTTAAACTGCCTATAAAACATTTTAAAAACAATAAATATTTTGAAAATAATTTGTAATAAATATATTAATATTTACTTAAATTTAGAACTGTTTTATATTTGACCGATTTCAATTATAAAATACCCCACTGTGTGTTGATTCCTTGTCTAAGGTATATTCAAACACTGAACATTCTTTAAAAAAATTGTTTTTTTACTAATAAAACATTAGAATTTTTCAAGTTGGCTTTTTAAACTTGGTTATCATCTAAATTATTTCGCCGTTCAAAATATGTACGAGTATACATAAAGGAGTATCCCCTTTCGTTGCCAAGCAAAAATGTGTTAACTACAATATTAAATAATAATGGTATTTTTGCTTAGCCCAAAAAACGAAATATTTTTAACAGCTATTTGTTTACTGTCTTAATTCTGCCCAAATGATTATACTTTTTCATTTTATTGACATAAAAAATCATAACTCGGTAATAATAGTTATTTATGTCATAAGGCTAAGAAGTGAGTCTTTTTGTGCTGAGCTCAAAATTTGAAGGCCGGCGCGTTAGCGGAAGCCTACAATTCAGCGAAGCACACAAAAACACTTCTCAGCCGCATGGTATATAACATTTTATCTTTAAGGCATAGTTTTATTTGTTAAACGATACATAAAAAAAACTTACAATTATAATAACAATTATTAAAACTTTTAATTTAAAAGTATAAAGTGAGATTAGATAGCTTCAGATCTGTCAGCTGTTATCCAATTAATTGGTCCTTATAAAACGCTTGAAGATAAAGTTTATTAACAAGTTATGTACATACAATACAGAAAACATAATTTTTTAGGAAATAATACGCTCTACGAAAAAGGGCTTTTACTTTTCTTTGGTAAAACCATTTATATATAAAATGATCGAAAATAAACTTTAAAATAAATCAAAATAAAAGTTTTGTTATTAACTTTTTTTCTAAAAGTTGGGTTTCATCTAAATTATTTGTTGTCTAAAAATAATTAAAAAAAAAACTTCCGATACAATGTCATGTCATGTCGTTTAACCTAAATGACAAAACTTTTTATTTTTATTTATTTCAAACCTAGGCCTCCGATATTATATAAATTAATGGTTTTAGGAAAAAAAAACAAAATACCTTTATTGAAGAACGTAAAATTTTCTAGAAAAATATGTCTTGTGTATTGTTGCACGACATGAAATTGTCTATTAATTAGCCAGTGATGAATTTTTTGTTGTCATGAACATGAAAATAGTATTAATTATCAGGGTTAAAAACGACGGATTTTATCTATCCAAAATTATTTTTAGTCTCTAAATAAATAACTTAGATGATAAATTAATGATTTTACAAAGAAAAGGTAATAAGCATATTTATTAGCGAGTTACATCATAAAAATAAAAACAGTGTTAAACGACATCGAAAAAAGACTGTAAATAATATTTATCTACGCCAGTGAGATAAGAACTTCTTATCCCACTCATTTTGAGTGAGATAAGAAGTTCATTAACGCACGCGTTTTTCTCTGCTTTTAACCAATCAAATAAAAAAGTCAAAATGTCAAAATAACCCTAAATTAAGTCTTAGACAAAAATAATTACCGTTTATTTTTTCATTTAGAGGCGTAGATAAAAATTTGTACAATATACGTGTGATAACGCTTTATTAACGTACTTTTGCGATTGCCCAACTCGTGCTACGCACTCGTTGGGCAAATTTCGCATGCGTACGTTAATAAAGCTCTTATCCCACTTATATCGTAAATAACTATAATGTAAATAATAATTTAGATGATACTAAAGTGAAAAAAAACAATTTGGAAAATAACGGACATCCTAATAAACCTTTTAATCAAATCGTTTTAAAATTTAATTTTCATACCGGTTTTCCCTCTAGTGGAACAGTCACTGTCGGATCGATGATGACCCAGCAGTTTTTCGCTGAATCCATGGATTTTTTCTACCAACATTTCACTGTAAGTGGTGGGTTTTTCTCCAAGGAGTAAAGTCTTGTCGACGGCCTCGCCAACTGAATTAACATTTGGGGTAGAACCTGAAAAAATAAGTAAAACATTACAGTAGATGGTGATATAAATCCTACTTATTATATTAAACACCTGAGCATGTTTGGACCGTTAGGAGATATGTACCTGTACCTCATTAATAATATTGAACTTTTACATTCAGTTCTCGAATAAATCTTTTTTTAATATGCTAAAATTTACCTCTGATATTTTTATGAATCTAGCCCAAAATTTATTGTTAAAATTAAATTACACAATTCCTGAGACACTACCGCCATTATTTCTATGCAGTGTCAAAAAACACAGCCATAATTTTACCGCAAGAAAACAGCTGTTCCATTTCCCAAAATCCAATTTCTCGTACAAGAAATTGGATACTTTCGTGTATAACAAAATCATTTAATACATTTTCCATACTTACATTACATTTTCTGTCAATTTTCTGTTTGATAAAAAGTAAACTGTTTCAAATTGATTTTTATAAAAATGTATAGAAAGAGAAAAACCACTAAAAATAAAAAAAATCGTTTACATATAAATTAAAATTAAAAAGCTAGCAGTCAAAAAGAAGATTCATTATATATAACGTGTACATAGAATTATCCAGTTTTTTATTATGGAAATTATTCATAAGGTCGTAACGGCCGTGCTTTTCAGTCACGTCCTGGCTCGCAAAATCCACCACATATTTCACTTAGCAGTGAATTTTATACTTTGCGGAGCTCTTTAAATTACAACGTAACTGCACGGATAGGCAGAAAATTCAGCAAAATAAAAAGATAATTGGATATTTCATTATAACTCTTTAAAACCACTAAAACTAGTACAGTCAAACTATACAGGGTGGTCCAGTTTGAGATACATTAATTTTAAGAGGTGATAGAGAATCAAAAATGAAGGGGACTTTCCTAATAAAATATTTTTCAAAAGTGCCTAATAAGGAAGCTATAGCCCTTCAAAGTGGGAAATAAATAATCGTTTTTTTAGGATAACTTTTGAACCGTTTAAACGATTTGGTTTAAATTTTAACCAAAGTTTGATAAAATAAGTCTTGTTCGACCAGTGATAACGCGTTTTATCAAAATAATTCAGGGGCGTAGATGATGGGGGGAAGCTCCCCTTTTTCCCTCCCCATTTTTCAACCCCTTGCTATTTTTATAAATTGTTTATATTTTTGAATTCAACATTAAATTTGAACAAAAAAGTTACCCCTGGAAAATTGTGACTGAAGACTTTGTTTTCGAGATATTCGAGTTTGAAGTTTTTAAAACATGTCGAAAATGTAGAATAATTCTAATAATTATTATTCTACCCCTGGAAAATTGTGACTGAAGACTTTGTTTTCGAGATATTCGAGTTTGAAGTTTTTAAAACATGTCGACATGTTTTAAAAACTTCAAACTCACAATTTTCCAGGGGTAACTTTTTTGTTCAAATTTAATGTTGAATTCAAAAATATAAACAATTATTCATGTTTTTGAAATGTAATATTTTTGCCCATTGCATGCCATGTAAAGCAATTTGAAATATGTAGGTAGTCAAATATATTTTTCCCCAATGTCTGCTTTTGTCTCACTACCCAGTGAGCATTTTATTCCTAAAATGGAAATGTGTCTATTGCGACATTGCTGTTACGTCGCAGAGACCTTGTTTTGTGTTAAAAAATACACAGTGACGTCATGACACCATGACTTCCTGACACCAGAGAGGAATTGTGTATAGAGTACACAATATAGGACTTGTGTATACACACGAGTCGCAGTTCCTTACGACCATTTGATGTATGACGCAACCAAGGATTTGTGTAAAACTGTTACCTTAATGTGTATACACATATATGTGTCCATCATGGTCGCAAAAAGGGATCTGTGGAAAGTAAAGTGTAACAAACTGTAGGCATTGTGTTCATATAGCCACACAGGTAACTTTGGTATGAAATAAAGTAAGAATTAAACCTAAAATTTTCCCAGATTGAAACCTACGATTTGTTTGTGAAACAATATAGGCATTTTAACTGTTAAAACACTGTGTAGTCGCAAGAAATAATTTTATAACACATTGTAGTAATTGTGTGATGTGCGATTCCGTATTTGTACGCACGTTTAAAAAATATTAGTTTAGAACAAAATGTCGTTTCCTCAGGACAAGAACAGGGGTCGGCCCTTAGCCTCTCTACCTCCCATCTTAGTAAATGTTTCGGCCAATATAATAAATTATTTTTAATCCATCCATCCGGCACTAACATGAAACACAGTCTTTTTTTCTAAGGTAGTGACCAGCGTAAACATCTTTTTAAACCATAGAAAAATAAACTGCGTTAACGTTAACAATTGTTTTTATAGGTTATGTATTGCCATGCGCGTAAACACGGTATTGCGTGAAACAATTCCTGTTTTGCGCTATAATTGACACATTTACTAAAACAATGTCTTATTTGTGTTATAATTGACAAATGGTAGAACATGTTTGCAACGAAGTAGTTTATGGGTCACACAATACCTCCTCTGCGTGTGGTTTCACAAATAGGGCACAAACAGGGAATCTTGTTTCCTGTAGCCATCTTTATTATTCTATGATCAGAGCCATTACTTAATAAATACTTAAACTCATATATTTACAACGAAATTAAGAAATTATTAACAAATAACCATCCTTTTTGATAAACCACCCCACAAAAACTATAATAACAAACATATGGGTAAAAAAATATTTTTTTTTTTGAAAATACGATTTTTTTTTCGTTATTTATTATTTTTACAAAGGGGTGCTCTCTATTTCATTAGAGCATCAAAAAACTACAGGAAAAAATTTTTGTCGCAAGAAAAATTGGGTTTTCCGACTGTTTTAGGCATTTTAAATTATTAAGTTTATTTATTGCATTATAATAAATTTATATATGTATATACTTTAGTATGGTGATGCATCCATGAAATAGAAACATTATTGTTACCATAGTTGTGCACTTTGTGTTTTATAAAGTTAAAGCTGTTACAATTAATATTATATTTACCACTTTGTGTCTTCTTTTACTTTATACTGTATACTGTGACTTAGCAGTAATAATTTGGGAATTGTGTTAAACACGTATACGTCATTAGATGGGCATTGTGTACGTCAAAGTATAGGAATTGAGTACTGATTACTAAACAGTCGTTGACCCAGTCGGACACACAATTCCTAGGTATATCCCTTGATGTGTTGTGTCACGGTGCTTCAGTTTCGAAACGTATTTGTCATACAGCAGTCGTCGTTTCGAAACAAGTGTGTGCAAATTGACACTAGCTATGACACAACTTCGGAAGTTTTCCCCAAATGCGACAAAAAAATGCTCACTGGGTAGTCATGTTCTGTTTTACCGGTTTTTTAGGAATTAAACTTTACTGAAGCAATATGTTTTAAAGAACACAAGGGTTTACAATAATTTAATAATGATAATTTACAATAGATTTTCAAAGTGTAATCCTCTGGCCTCAATACATTTTTGACATCGTTTATTAATTGAATTGATTGCTGCTAATATTTGATGCCGGTTTTCACCTAACTGGTGGCATGCTTGTTGAATTCGTTCAATCAACTCTTTCCTTGTATCAATTCTTGTGGCGTACACAAGATCCTTTATGTAGCCCCATGCGTAAAAATCTAATGGCGTAATATCGGGTGATCTTGGTGGCCAAGGTACTGGCCCCCTTCCCACTTCTGGTGGATCGTTATTTGTGATTCGCCCTATCCATCTTTCCGGATAATTTTCATTCATCCAGTCTCTCACTTGTCGGCCAAAATGAGCGGGTGCGCCATCCATTTGGAACCAACTATTATGACGTACTTCGGCAGGTATATCATCAAACAAGTCGTTTAAGCTATTTGTTAAAAAGTTAAGGAACAGTGCCGAGTTTAGTCGAGGTGGTAAGAAAAATGGACCACAAACATAACCATTGATAAGCCCAAGCCACACGTTAACACTAAATTCATGTTGAAAGGAACGAATTCGAATCTGTCTTGGATTTTCTTGAGCCCAAATGTGAGAATTATGGTGATTAAATACTCCGGTTCTTGTGAAACTGGCCTCATCAGTCCATAAAATCTTATGTAGAAATTGCGGATTTTCTTGAACAGAATCCAATATCCAGTTACAGAAGGTTATTCGACGATTTTCATCACCAGGAAGTAAATTTTGCACTAGTTGTAAATGATAAGCTCTTTGATGATCTTTATGTAAAACACGCAGTACCTTAGATTTTGATTTTCCCAACTGCAGGGCTGCTCTACGTGAACTTAGCCGAGGATTGTTATTAAATATTCTGAGTATGGCAATATTTTCATTATTTACCTTTAAAAATCTGAATTGATTCCGAGAAGTATTAAAAACAATACTTACGAAAGAAAAATAAATTATCTACCTACTCAAAGTTATCCCTAAGAAATGACAAAAATCTATTAAAATCCGAAAGAGTAAGGAGTGCCCTTTAAAACCTGCTATTTTTGTTTGCATCAAATAAATAACGAAATTTAGATATGTAAAAAAATACTTTGAAAACATGAATTGTGCATTTTCGATAAAATTAAAACACGAATATCTCAAAAACAAAGTCTTCAGTCACAATTTTACAAGGGTAACTTTTTTGTTCAAATTTAATGTTGAATTCAAAAATATAAACAATTTATAAAAATAGCAAGGGGTTAAAAAATGGGGAGGGAAAAAGGGGAGCTTCCCTCCATCATCTACGCCCCTGAATTATTTTGATATAACGCGTTATCACTGGTCAAACAAGATTTATTTATCAAACTTTGGTTAAAATTTAAACCAAATCGTTTAAACGGTTCAAAAGTTATGCTAAAAAAACGATTATTTATTTCCCACTTTGAAGGGCTATAGCTTGCTTATTAGGCACTTTTGAAAAATATTTTATTAGGAAAGTCCCCTTCATTTTTGATTCTCTATCACCTCCTAAAATTAATGTATCTCAAACTGGACCACCCTGTATATATATTAGGGTGGCCCAAAAAAAAAAGAATATTTTTTTTCTTCTTG